TTCATTCTGATCCACACAAAACAAAAATAATTGTTATCACCAATTAAAATACGCTCCCCCGAATTTAATCGGTGACATTAGCACTAATAAAAAATATTGCTAATGTGGACTATATATGCTTATTTTTTTGAAAATATCTTTCCTTTTACTTAACTGAGCCTCTGGTTTTTTTTAATGTGTGTGCATGTAATATTCACAAATATAAATTTTGTAATCTACTGTGTCTGCTTCACATGTAAGTTTATCACCCACATCTTCATTCACCAATTCCTAAGACTAATCCAAATAACATGGAATGGATCCTGAGAAATTTGCAGTCATTACTGAGGCTGAAAAAAAAGATGGGATGGAGAATGTTTTTGTGAGGACTTGGAGAGGGATATACACTTCTATCATGGTTGAATAGAAAGTAAAGAAGACCCTAGAAAATAGATATATAAAATATTGAGCTTTGATGAGATACCAAATAGAGGTAAAAAAGTAGGCCACCAAAGTAAAATTATTACAGATATATATATTATAAAATTATGCTTTGGTGGGTTACCAAGTAGAGATAATATTTTATAAAAATTGGTAGGACACCAAAGTAAAATTATTACAGATATATATATATTATAAAATTATGCTTTGGTGGGTTGCCAGGTAAGGATAACAATTCAACACTGCATGCCTCATTATTGGGTGATATTCAAGTGCATTATAACAGTTAGCAATTCAGCACTATGTGCCTCATCCTTAATTGGTATTTGAGTGCATTATGTAAAATATCATGAATACTATTTTGGCACTATGTGACTCAACTCTGGCCCTTATAGAGGAATTAACCAGAAAGCTAGGGCACTATGTGCCAAGTTCGGGCATAGCCCTCAAATCAGGCCTGCAAATGATGACACATGACTGAATGCATTGTCAGGTATTTTTTTTGTTCATGTAGCCTAATAACAGAAATCAACCACAATCACTAAACTGGCATATATTATGTCATATGTGGCCAGATATATAGAATGCACCACCTTAGTGTGTGTCATAAAAAGCAAAATTCACATCATTTGAGCATGGCCTAAAATCCAAAATGCACACCATACTGATGCATGACTCAGCAGTTCTCAAGTGACAATACAAACATAACCTATATAGCGTCCAATAAGTAGACTATAAACATCTCAGGTGTGTGGCAAAAAAAGCAAAACACAATACCCTTGAGTGTGTCCTAAAAAATGAATCATGACACACACCTGAACTATAATAGTCTAATTTAACGTCATTTATTGTTTATATAAACAATAAATGACTTCATTTCATATTTCTTGTGGAATTTTGGCATTTCCTGTGTTTTTATCCTTAAAATCTTACTGGGAAAAGCAGAAAGTCATTTATCATAATCATTTAGTTTACCTGCTCTCAGGTGTTTTTTCTGTTCCTTTTGGTTCACTGTATTTTGGTAAACTTCATCACTGAATAAAAATGATAAATATGCTTCTTATTAAGGTTTTCACTAAGATATTTATATTTAATAAAAAGAGAAATATCACCAGTGCCAATGTCACCATTTATGCAACAGCAAGAAAATGAACATAAGAGAATCAATTTGTCATTGTTGTGGCAAAAGCAAATCTAAAGATTAAAAAAGGTATTGTCCTGATGGTGTGTCAAGTACAAAAATACATTACATTTCATCACATTTGTGAACAAAAACAATTTTTCAAAACTGTAATGATGGGAATTAAAAATAAATAATAAAAATATTTTTATTATATATAAAAAAATCTGTACAACGTTTTATTTAAACCATGAGATATTACATCAAAAAGATGGTAAATATAATAAATTTCAGAATATTACCATTAATTGAAATGATCTAATCATTGTATGTATTTATAAATTTATAATATATTTTTAAAGGCTGGATTTAATATTATTATCACAAATCTACCACATGTTCCCTGATACCTAGAAGTCGGAGGTTTTTGAGGGTTGAGCCGCAGTCAAGTCTGGCAGCCAATTACGAGCCTGGGACATTAGTGAAATGAAATGACATGCATATGGTGGCTTTTAAGCAAAAATTTGAGTTTTTTCCTATAACAGGAACAATTGTTGCATTCATTTCTTTAAAAGGGTATAGATCGTCTAAAAAAAAGTCTACTCCGTAATTTTTTAAATTTTTTAAAATCATTTCATTTTAAATATTTTTGAAATGATTACAAATATTTTAATACAAATATTTTGAAATACTTTCAAGTCATATGATTATGATCATATGATGTAGGAGATATTATTACTGTCAAAAAAAGCTAGTCCAAAACCTGGACGAGTAGGAAGGATGTGTTCCTGATATTAAACCCTGCCTGCGAGCACAATGATATCAGAAGTCAGTAATACACTCGACTTATTATAATAATAATAATAATAATAATAATAATAATAATAATAGCAAAAAAAAATCAAAAATCGAAGTGTAACCTTTTATCAAATTCATCATCTTGAAATAAAAAATTAAAATGACTCCAAGATCAAAATTTCCAAAATCGATCTCGCATTTTTTCACGTTCAACAGCAATCGCCGTAGTCGTAACAATGCTAATAATAATAACAGTAGTGGTAGTAGTAGTAATGTTAGTGATAATAATTCTGCCTCTCCTCCAAAAATAACGGAACATGATGACAAAGTTATTCAAATAGAAGATGATGATGGTAACGCATTTCTTTCTTCACAATAAGCATGTTTTTCAAATTCACTTTGCATTTACACTCTTGTTTGTTAGATGACTTTGATCCTTCTTTATTACCACTTCCTGGTATGTGCAGATAAATAATTATTATTATTATTATTATATTCATATTCATTCAATAAATAAATTAATTATATACAAAATTTATTTTTAGAGCAATCAACTAAAAAAGCAACACAGCGAATATATCGAGAACTAAAGATGATTATAAATAATCAGAATAAACCTTCTAATGACTTGGGTTTTTATGTTAAACATGACAAATTAAGATCAGTCTACCAATGGGTTTGTATTCTTAGTTGATAATATAATATATAAACATATAGCAAAAATTTATAATATTATATAAATAATAATAAATGTTTGTTTATTATCAAAACTCTAGGTTGTACAGCTCAAGGATTTTGATCCAAATATCCCATTAGCTCAAGATATGGCAAGGCATAAAGTTTCCAGTATTGATTTAGAAGTTAGATTTGCCCCTGAATTTCCCAATTTGCCGCCGTAAGAATTCCATTATAATTATTATTATCATCAACTTATATAATAATGATTTAATAATATAGTTTTTTACCATTATTATTATAGATATATTCGTGTAATTAGACCAAGATTACTAAGATTTCTTAATGGTGGAGGTGGTCATGTAAGAAGAATGAATCATATAATTTTAGCAAAGAAAAAAGATATAATAATATTTCTCTTTATAATGTTATATGTAGGTTACAGCAGGAGGGTCTATTTGTATAGAGATTCTAACTTTGGGCAATAAACATGATAAGGGATGGTCGCCCGAGTTCACTATAGAATCAGTTTTACTACAAACGAAATTAGCATTGAGTGATTTGAATCCACCTGCAAGACTTGACAAGAATTGGAAAAATGAATACAGCCCAAAAGTAATTTATTATATATAATGCATATGATGTTTTCTTACACACACATTTACATATTTTTAAATATTTTAGGAAGCTATAGACGCATATATTAGAGTAGCAAATCAACATGGCTGGGCTATTCCACCTCAATGGTCATCTTTATTTAGAAACTAATATTATTTTTACATTGGATTTATTCTATAATAAGAACTTAGAAATAAGAGTTATTGGGAGAGGAAAAAACAACAATTGTACATAAATAATCATTTGTCATTTATTGTTTCATATAAATTTATTAATTTAAAAAACTGGAATTTAATTTTTACAATAATATAAATAGTAAATAATTTAATTTTTCATTCTAACTTTTGCTAAAGCAGCAATCATTTCGACTCTTTCTTGAACACTAAGATTATCAGTATTAATCACAATAGAATCTTTAACTTTCCTAAGTGGTGATACTGCCCGTTCAAAATCTTCTTTGTCTCTTCTTTCCAAATCATTCAAAACTTGTTCAAAATTTATTGAAATGTTATGAATAGTATTATTCATTTGTAATAATATTTCTTCGTATCTTCTTTTAGCTCTGATTTGTATATCTGCTATAAAAAAAATTTTTAATTCGGCATCAGGTAAGATAACTGTACCAACATCTCTACCATCCATTACCACACCTTTAATTTCTGATGATGATGCTAAGGACCTAAATTTTTCTACTAGTATTTCTCTTACTTTACTATTTGATGCTATACTTGAAACATTTCTAGAAACGGTCGGTAATCTGATTTCCTTTGTGACATCTTCACCATCCAAATACACAAATATCTCAGGTGGTGGTATTTGTAAATCACCTTTAATATGATTATCGTTGTCATTTTCTTCATTATTTTTATTTTCCATTTCATCATCATTGTTGTTGTTTCTAATTTTATCTAATATTTTCGAATGTGTTATTGGAAAGTTTGTTTCTTGAGGTTGTTTATAATAATTCATTATTGTTCTAAGTTTAATATCTGACCTCAATGCTATATTTACTATTCTATCTGAATCATCTAATGAAACATTCTTTCTCAATACTGCTAATGTAACAGCTCTATAAACAGCTCCTAATAAATAAATATACAATATATGAGATATATCAAATATTAAATTTGATCTTTATTATTATTATGCAAATTACCTGAATCAATATATTGAAAATTTAATTTTTGAGCTAAAAATTTTGATGTGGTACCTTTTTACAAAAAAATCAACAAAAACAACAACGGTAATAGTAATAATAGTAATGTTAATTAATTATATGTATGTTAAAATATATTTTGAAAAATTTTTTTACTTTTTCCTGAAGCTGCAGGTCCATCAATTGCAATTTTAAATAAATTTCTTTTTAATATCTTTAAAACTTTATTATGATTTTTATTTTTATTACAAATAAACATCATCAGACCACCGGATAATTTTAATTGAGGTGATAGGTCCTTAAATGGGCAAAGAAAAAAATAAACCAATTTTCAGAAAATTTTCGTGCAACAGCACAATCTTTTCTATAAAAATTACTATGATTTTCCTACCAGTTCAATTAAAATTATCCGGGAGCCTATATCATCTTTAAAACTTGTGTCAGAGACTTGGCAGATCTTTTTAAATTGAATCTACAGACAGATTGGTTGGATGACTGGTTAAAGATTGTTTAAAGGCTACCTCGAACGTTTTGATTGAATTACAAACTTTTTGGCCAATCTCGATTATTTTACGTTTTATGGCAGAGTTCGAGTTAACTTTTAGCTACACTCGTCGATTAATTGCAAGTTTTTATTATTATGTACAAGGCTCGTCAATTATTTTACGAAATTATTCTGCTTACTGCCTCTTTTTTATACTTTGGTGAATCTGTTGTTTTTTGTTCCAATTTAAATAAATATATATGGGAAATAAATAATAAAAAATACGATGAAAGAGGCTAGGTTATCGACATACGATTGGACGGTACTAAATAAACTAGTTTTATTTATTTATAATATATAGCAATTCCTTGAACTGTCCATTGCACAGTTTGATTTGATTACACAAACAAAGTTGCGGAAAACATCAAATTCAGATTTCAGAGATGTAAGTGGCGTGAGCTAACCGAATTTGTAAATCATCTGCACGGCACGGTCGAATTTTATAACACCGGATCATCATAATATTTGTATCAATTACCGCTTGAATTACAAATAGTTTACTATCTCTGCTATTTTTTAATTATCAATTAGTTATTTAAGAATTATTTTTATATATAAATCGTGATGTCATCGTATACAAAGAGGTCGAAAGATATCCCTTTACCAGCCAAAGAAAAGGATAACCCAGATTATCGACAACCACTTTACCTTGGTACTTGGAAGAAATCCATTCCGTATATTGATGATGATATTGCAATAGATGATATGGATGAACCTCATATGAAAAGAAAAGTAACTATTATAAAAAAATACCCGGAAATTGAAAAATTATATGGATACGATCTCAGAACATTACCTTTAACAATTATAGCATGTTTTATGCAAGTGATGGCAGCTTATGTATTTGGAAAAATTTTGATAGATTGGAATTTGACAATGTTGTTTTATGGATATTTTATCGGGGCATTCATTTCTCAACTTTTTGGCGTAGTTATTCATGAGGCATGTCATTGTCTTATAGCTCCAACAGTTCTCCAAAATCGTATAATAGGTTTGATTGCAAATATTGGTTTACCATTTCCTATAGCAATGTCATTTCGTCGTTATCATCTTGAGCATCACACATATCAAGGTGTTTTGGGTTCAGATCCTGATCTGCCTTTGGAGTGGGAAAAGAAAATGATTCGTGGCAATGCATTTTTAAAATTTCTTTGGCTGAATATTTATCCTATCATGTATGTTGTCAGAGGATTGGCTATGCAGAAAAGTCCAAGTTTTTGGGAATATGTTAATTGGGTGTTCACAATTACAACAGATATTATGATTTACAAATATTGTGGACTTCGAGGTTTAATATACTTGGTTTTATCATTATGGTTTGGTTTTGGTGCACACCCCGCTGCTGGTCATTTCATCCAAGAACATTACACTTTTGAAGATGGTCAAGAAACTTATTCTTATTATGGGAGTTTAAACATAGTCTTAATAAACATTGGATATCATAATGAGCATCACGATTTTGTAAAGGTAGGAGATGATATTAATTTATTTAATCTATTTATTATAATATTTAATATTAATTGAAATTAAACATTGAATCCTGTTTTATTCAGGTTCCATGGGCAAATCTACCCCAAGTTCGTAAAATTGCATCAGAGTATTATGACAATTTATCATATCACACATCATGGGTTATGTTACTTTGGAATTTTGTAATGGAAAAACAATTAGGACCTCAAAGTCGTGTGGGTAGAACTCCTGATGATCATAAGAAAGGCCGCAAAATGTTGAAAGTAATAAAAGAACAATAAGATGACTATTGCTGTATGTAAATTATATGTGATGAAATTCAAATAATTTAATCTTTTTTTATCAATTTATCATTACATATACAAGATTTCAATTCAATAATGGTCATCATCCATTTTCTTTTTGTTATATACAAAGAAATTAGATTAATTTAGAGAAAATTTTAAATTTTAATGAGCATACATACAGTATATGCGAGATTAACTTTAAAAAATAAATGATAACGAATAAATATAAATATAATATTAATGACAATAATAATAATATTAGATTCCAAGAAATCAAAAATAAATAATAACAATAATAATGGATAAAAATAAAAAAATAATAAAAATAATAATAATAACAACAATGATAATAATAATAACAATGATAATAAATATTATATTCCGAGTTTTCCCAAGAAATCAATTATTGATTGCAAGGTTTCTTGAGGTCTTTCATCTTGAGGTAAATGTCCACATTGTGTTAATACTTTAAATTCCATGATTGAATCAGAAGGTGAGTTCAATTTGATTTCTTCAAATATACTTTTATATACATCACATGTTGTATATTTGTCATCATCTCCTACCATAAATAAAATTGGAATATTTTGTAATTCGTTTTTATGTGGTAAAATTTCAAGTGGAATAAAATATTTCATTAGAAATGAAATCGATTCATAATAATTTGGTAAAGTTGACGGTGTTATATAATAAGGAGTGATCGCAGTTTCCCAATCAGGAATCGACTTTGCATCATGAAATAATGCTTGGCTCGGCAAATTTTTGCTTATAAAATATTTCAAAAATAATTTTACAGGAAATGATCCTAAAATCGTACATGCAATTGGTGGTGGACCTAAAGAAACATGAAATTTATTTTAAATTGTTAAATATTATTAATTAAATATATATAAATTACATATAATCAAGGGAAAATTTTTACCTTGATCTTCAAGTTTTATAGAAGGACCAAGGAAAATTAAAGCAAAGGCAATATGTGGATATTTTATTGAGAGATAAGAACTAATTGCACAACCAGCAGATGATCCAACAAACACAATTTTTTTATTAGCATATCCTAAACATGATAAAAATTTCAATATAAATTCACATGAAGCTTCTTGTGTATAAGGATTTTTGCCTTCCTCCCATTGTGTTGGCCTTTCGGTGAAACCCCAAGTTACCCTATCGTAAGCTATTACATCACAACCTGTAGCATTAGCAAGTGGTTGCATGATATGTCTCCATGTGTATACGCTCCCGAAAATTTGATGAAGACATAAAATAACAGGTTTATCTGGATTTATGTTGTTGTTGTTATTAGCATGTTGTAGATTTTGCTTTGGTTCTTCTTGTTGAGGAATTGATATTTTATAAAATGTTTGAATATCGTCAACGATCACAAAACGTCCTTCTGGATCTACCGATGCTGTTGATTCAAGAAAAACTCTTTGAGCAGAAGAAAGTGACATATTTAATGAATTTTCAAAAAATTGAAAAAATCATTTGGAGTGGTATTTATTCTTTCTATTTTTTTCCTACTTATTCATTTGTTTGCATAATCTTTTCTTATGTAATAGCTAATTGTTTTTTTATTTATATTACTTACAGTCGGAGATGTTTCCAAATTAATTTTAGGGAATCAAAAAAAATCCAAATATTCATTAATTAATAGCCACATGATTATCCTTTCGTTGTAAAAATGTCGCAAATAGAAATTTGGCAAGGACCATGCGCGATCTTTCAAAGTCGTGTACAGTGAAACCTTGTTTCGACGAATCTTGTTCAACGAATTATTATTAAATTCTTGTTCAACGAATTTTCGAAAGCATAAATTTCGTTGAAACGCGCGATTAGTTAAACAATTTTGAATGAAATTTTCTTGTGTGTTCAGTCATTTCGTTGTAATAAGGCTATATGATATTATATGTAATATTTGATTATTATATAAATTTAATTAGAGGATTAAGTAATGTTAAAAACTCCATTTAAACAATAATAATTAAAAAATTCTTTTGTGACATGTTGTTATTATTATGTCATCATTAGTAAAGTTATATAACAATTGTGTAATAATAAAATTCGGCGCTTGTTTGTTACACGTAATATAATTTCTTCAAAGCTCTGCTTTTAAAAAGCATTTTAAATTTGCATTATGCAATTGGAATTTTGTATTTGCAAATTTGATACTGAATTTTGGGGCAAATTTTTCCTGTGGCTCCGCAAACTATATTAATATGCGTAGATAGGTTAAATACAAAAATCGCTTATTGGAGACAATCATTCCAAATTTGGTAATTTTTCACCGACATTGCATTTTCTATAGTGGCTGTATCGTTGATTATCCGGGTGTTTGAGTACTTGGTCAATCAATAAAGCTCAACATCTGGATAATCGGTCAGTCAATAAAACTCAACACCCGGATAATCAGTCATTCACCGAATACTCGCCAAATATACGCCAAATATCCACTGAATATCCGTTGAATATGCATAATTATTTTTTTTTAAGAAATACAAATAACAACAGACCAATTTTATTCGTTTGATTGTCATTGTGTGTTTCCAGCTTCACTAAATACAGTCAAACCTTGTCGCAGCGGACGGATAAAGATTTATTTAAAACCCGTTGTGGCAGGATTTACTGATCTTGCCACAATGGATTTTTATGTTTTTATATTTAATGTGAATGTGAAACAAAAATTTAAAAATCCGCTATAATTATGACAAGGTCGCTCATTTGGAGTAGAAGTTACTGCAATGCATAAATATTCTTTAAATAATAATGACACAATTAGTATTCATATTACTTGATATATTATTATAATAGAAAGAATGTTGGTGATGGTCCAATAGTGGACAAAATAGTATTAACATGTTAATGTATTCTTTCAATTACGCGGATAAAAATTTATTTTTTATTATCATTACTATATTCTGTACCGCCGAATATTCACCAATTATCCGGTGAAAATTTTCAACACCGATTAATTAATCAATGAAAAATTTTCAACACCCGATTAACCGGATAATCGGTGAATTAATCGATGAATATCATTCGGCGGATACAACCACTACAGTGAGCAAATATTAATAATATTGTTGTTGTTGTTGTTGTTGCTGTTGTTGTTGTTGTTGTTGTTGTTGTTCTAGAACTGGCGATTTTGATTTCTAGCATCACATACTGATACACCACATTAATTTGTCGTGAAATTGAAATTTATAATTAAAGTTTTGGGGTGGGGTGTTTAGATATGAAATTTTGATTGGCTAATTTGAATTTCACATGTGAATTGCAAATTCACAAACTTTCATTTTCACGCACAACATCATCATGTATTTAATAACGTTTTTTGCATATATTATTGTTTACTTGGAAGAGACAAAGTGAACATTGGTATTACCAAAAATTTCAGGGATCAAAATTTAGTTATTATCATTACAATTAAGTGATATATAGAATTATCTCTATATAAAAATAGTTAATATGAAGCTAATTTATATCAGATCCACTATGGAACCCAAGAATTACAGTACCATTAGAAGTATTTTGAAAAAAGAACAAGGTGAAAAAATTGCTCCTTACATTTTCAAAGTAAATGACACTCAAACACTGGAAGCTTACCTAAGAAAAGAAAGGATTACCTATGAAATTTACCATGAAGAATGAAAAATAATAAATGTTGGAAAAAGAAAGCATCATGATGATGCATTATTACCTAATAAAAAGCAAAAATCCTTAAAGAAAATAACTATCATTTTATTGTGTAATCTAAAAAAAATAAAATTCAACAGAAAAATACAAGATGTATGACGACATACGAAACTTCCAAAGCAAGTTTGTAAAATATATTGATGAACGTTTATCAATTATTGGATGGCTTGTATCGAAATGTTAAAAGTCAAGATCTATGAATGAATCTGTTTGTAAAATATTTAATGAGCGCTTTATCAATTATTCAAATAATTATATAGGTGGGCTTGGTAGAAGTAAGTGTTAAAGTCAAGATCTATTTGCAAATCAAGTTTCCAAAATGAACGTTTAATATTATAGGCGGGTTTGATCAAAGTCTTAAAGTCGAGATCTACGAAGCTGTTTGTAAAATATATTTAATTAACGTTTTATTATTATTATCAATTATTCAATAACTATATAGGCGGGTTTGATCGGCCAAGATCTATATAATTAGATTGTTAATAGTTAATAATGGAATTTTTTACATGCAAAAAAAAATTGTTTTGAGTTGTAAATTTTGTTTTATTAAATAAATTTGTTTGATTTTTTTATTCATCGTTCATGTTTCCTCTTGATCGTATATCTTAATTTGGTCGCGTTTACAATCATTTTGATATTCGTTATATTAAGGTTATTTTGATTATATCGAGAGATATGGTCAAGAGAAGAGTTAGGAAGAGAGTTATTCTTCA